TGGAGCCAAGCTGGGCTCTGTTTAAAACCTGGAGCCAAGCTGGGCTCCGTTTAAAACCTGGAGCCAAGCTGGGCTCCTTTTACCAGAGAAAAATGACGCAGGCTGCTGTGAGCTAGTAACGCTAACTGCGATCAACGCAAATAAAAACGTGTTTAAAGACGTTTAATTAGAGGCTCTGCAGAGAAAATGTGTTTACTGGTTTGAGGCGAGTACGAAAGTGAGACGTTAGAGAAAAAACACTCGTCGTTCAAATTCCTCCGTTTAATAACCTGCAGGATTTGATTTGTAGATTTTCAGTGACAAACGGGGAAAGTTCGGTGAGTTCTGGAGGAAATATGAACGTTTTTAAATCGTAAATGTTTAATTAAATACGTTTAAATTATCTGTTTAACCAGAAATGATGGGGAAAAAAAAGACAAAAATCTGCATAAAACACTAATTTGTGCTTTTTTTAAATGTGAAACTTAACGATTTAATTCAAATCCAGCTCAGATAAATGAAGCTGATTCAGTCGATCAGCAGCAGGTTCGTGTGAACGCACGAGTGCCGTTTGGTTCGGGTCCGTCTGAAGGACCCGGGTCAGCCCAGATCACCCCCGCTCCCTGCTGGGTACTTTTCCAGGTTTATTGAGACGTCGTTCTGGTGTGCGGGTCTGCGCTCGACGTAAACAAAGAGTCTGACGGAACCACGTGGAGGTTTGACCCACGTCAGGCGGCTGCAGTCTGGAGCTTCAACGGGTTTTGGTTGTTTTCCAACGTAAACAAACACACGTGGGAGTTGGCAACGGGTCGCAGATTCTGCAAGGACACTTTAACCTTTAAGTTTTTTATTTTACGTTTCAGACTGTGTGGGTTTTATTTTCAGTCCAGACTCCAGCCCTTTAAAACATTTCATCAGTTTCACTACAACTCGCCTCGTCGTTTCATAAAAACTCCGAAGGCTTAGTGTTCATCCACAAACCGCGTATCTTCTGACGTGTTAGGGCTCAGAGCATGTGTTGTGGATGACTCTCAGCTACTACCACAAAAAAAAACGAGCTCAATGTGTTTAATTGGTTGCAGCCATTTTTTTGTGTAGGCTGAGTTCGATTAGCTGTGGCAGCCATCTTGAATTGGGTTGACTCCAAATTTAAAACGGTTGTAGATGCTAATCGATTGATCACTTCCTGGAAGTTTCATTCAAATCTGTTCCGTGGTTTAAGAGATATTTTGCTAACAGACAAACAAGAATGACTCCCAATAATTAAAGGTAAGGTTTTGAATGCAGAGCATGAGCAACCTGCAAGTCCTCCAACTACAGGCTGGGCGTCAGTCTCAGCTACTACCACACAACATTTCAGCTCAATATCTTTAAAATTGTCTAAGTTATGGTTATTATTATGTTATTTAAGGGCGGGTGGCTGTAGCGGCCTTGTTGATTTGAGTTCACTCCAACGGTTAATCAGCTGTAGATCTGCGTCCAATACTTACTTCTTGAAAGTTTCATTAAAATTTATTTTGTAGATTTTGAGATATTTTGCTAACAGACAAACTGAAATAAAGATGAATGGAGAATTTCAGTTTTGCGCTCAGATAAATAAAGTTAATCTGGAGCTCGCATGTTGATTCAAAGTTGAAACTCTTTGTGAGAAAACAGCAGCTGAAGGATGAACTCACCGATGTCGGAGTTGCAGAAGGCGTCCTGCGGGTGCGTCAGCGCGCACGAGCAGCCCTCCGCGAGCCGAGGAAGCTGCAGGCCGCTGAGCACGAACAGCAGGCCGACCAGGTGCTGCTGGAACACGGGCTGCATGTCTCCAAAGTCCCGCTGTGCGTTCGCCTCGGCTGCGGTGAAGAATTCAAACGTATAAACTCCGGTTCTGACGACTGCCGCTGCGTCTTTGGACCCGTTCTGCTCCAGGAGGGAGAAACGGCTGCTTTTATAGAGGAGGAGGACACGCCCCCCTGACACGTCAGCCAATCAGAGCGCAGCATGAGGCTTCTCGGAAATGAAGATGACATCGCTGCTTCATCTGTTTTTCCCTCAAACTGACCATTTATTTATTTGTTTATTTATTTATTTAAAGGATGAGACGCTGGGTAAAACTACGGACCTGTTCAGTTTTATTTACTTTCTCCAAAAACATTTAAAAATAACAAGATTGAAAATGACTAAAACCGGGAAAAAAAAAAAAAAGATTCTTACAGGAAGAGCACATGTTTATGTGACCACGTGCTGAAAATGCTACAGAAGTCACATGAAAGACGGGCGATAATGTAAATGATCGTCTGGATGTGGGTGTTAGCAAAATATCATGATCTTTTGGAGGGATTTTAATAAAACTAACCACTGGATGCACCGCCACAACTGATTAACTTTTAGTCCAACTAAGTCAAGATGGCTGCCACAGCTAAGCGTTTTTAGTAAACACAAAAATAGCTGCAACTCTGTCAGTTGTTCAGATATTGAGCTAAAACTTGGAGTGGTAGTAGCCGAGAGTCGCTCACAGCTCATACTCTGAGCGTGACGTCGGTGGATTTACGGCTCTTTGGAAGGGAGCCTGCTCTCCTCGAGTCATTTCGTTCAGTTTTGAATGGTTTGTCCCGTCACTGTGTGCATTAAAAACAAGCTCGGTGTCTCTCTGAGGAGTAAACACGAGGACGACAAAACAGCTGTAAAAGCTAAAGGTTGCAGAACGCAAGCTAAAAGCTATAAGTGGAATGCTAAACACTAAAAAGATCAAAACACCAGCCAAAATATCAAAGAAGCAAATGGTTGCTAAAATAGCAACAAGCTAGCTCACAGCTAAAAATAATAAAATGGTTGCTGATAGCTAAACGTAGCATAAGACTTGCTAAAATCTCAAAGTAACAAGCTAACTAAAGACAGCAAAGGGGTAGCTAAAAGAAAAACTTATTTAAAAGTGAATGAAAGTAGCAAACGGCTATTTTAAAGTTAAGTAATAAGTGTTGTCCTCTGCTTCGTGTCAGCAGGAGTTTTATTGAAATGTAGAACCCTATGAAGGTTTACCCATCAAGCCGATGGGAAGAGATTTTAAAATAAAGACTTTTGGACCCACTGGACAGATGTGAATGAGATCTCACATTAATCACTGGGTGTTCATTAACACCTGATTAACTCCTGGAGTCAACCCTGTTCAAGATGGCCGCCACAGCTAATCGATGGTAGCAAACACTAAAGCAGCTTTGCTCGGACCGGAGTCAAATGTGCGTCCATCTGTCCGGCAGCTGAAGCTTGGACCGATCTGGGTCCAACAGGACTATGGTCCCAAACACAGTTGATCTACAACAGATCAGGTCAAGAAGAACAGAACCAAGGTGCTGCACCGGTCCAGTCAGAGTCCAGAACCTCAGCCTGACTGAAACTCTGTGGTGGACCTTCAGTAAGTTGAGCAGAAACCAACGATGGAAAGAGAGGTCCAGATCTTCTGAGGTGACGTCGACTGGCGGTTCCGTGAAACTGGAACGGAGATGTGGGCTGTGCAGCAGCGCCGGACCCCCCTCCCTCAGTGACCGTCGCTCCTGAAGGTTCTTATTTCTCCAACTTCCGGCTTGTCGGGAGAATGAAAAGTATTTCCTGTGAGTCAGCTCTGCTCTGTTCCGACTACGCAGGGCTTCTCCGGCACACGAAGAGGGCCGGCCCGCTTCAATCCGGACCTTTTTTTTTCTATAATTGGACTTTTTCAGATGAAGTCCTCTGGGCTCGATGCTGAGCTTACGGGACGCTGGCCTACTTTGGCGACATCGTTTCCAGAGGGTCTTGTTTATTTCAAGTGATTTTGACAGACTGAGAGACCCAGAACCAGATTTATAACCCATTTCTGACAGGAAACTGCAAGTACAACATGCATGTACTGTACGTGAACCATATATATATATATATATATATATATATATATATATATATTATTGTTCTATTAACACAAGTTGGACTTAAAAAGCAGCAACAACAAATAAAAACATTAAACTTCAGGAAATGGAGGAAAGAAATCGATGAAGATTTTTTAAACATCATTTTGAATTCTGTGGCAGCGACACATCTTAAAAAGTTGTGGTAGTTGTTCATTGTTTCTCATACCGTTATACAAGCAGGGCGCCCCACTCTGTCAACAGAACCAAGTGTCCTGCCTATCGAACCGACCCCCCCCCAACAATAACTGCCAGCACTGCCGTAGTCTTAATCTGGTGGTGTGTCATACAGATGTGCTAGCTAAAAAAATAGAGGTAGTGTTCCAATTCCCTCATGCTGAGCCCCCCCCCCCCCCCCCCCCACACACACACACCTTGAGAAACTTTCGGGATAAACGGTGCTCAACACGCAACACAGACGTGTGTCCACCCCCCACCTCCCCATCAACAAAAAACACGGAAGAGATGAGTGCCCTGCCATGGCAAGTGATGTAGGGGAACCACTGTAACTAAGTACCGAATTTGTCGTTATATAAGTCGGGGGGGGGGGGGGGTTGCATAATTTACATGCCCTGCAACTTATACGCCAAAGCGACGTATTTATGGATTTTTTCACATTCGTATAAACCAATTTTTTGCTGAGTTATAACCGTTTTCATTCATTCTGACTGAAATCATTAAACACTACCATTTTCAGTCACTAGATGGCACTCGAGCAGTATGGCATGCCGTTGTATCATGTAATAGGTAAATGTGGCTATTAATGATACAATCAGCTTGCCATCGCCTGCCACTGTCCTCCGGGATCATGCCTGGAGCAACCGTCAAATCAGCTTCATTTCGCTGCACCGCCCCGGCGAAATGCAGCTGATTTGACCATTGAAGTAAATGTATTAAGTAAAAGCTCAACAGAGACGCACCTTTATTAGAATGTCGAGCAAACAAATAATTGTTTTTAAGTGTTATCTTGTTAAATAATTGTTAAAGTCCTCGCGTGCACGCTCCCGCCATTTGGCAGCCAATCGATTTTTGGCACAACACTGGACATTTCCGGGTTCTTATCGGTGACGCAGAATAGATGTGACGTATTTATGAATCTTTCACTTTATTAGACATATTTGAACTGATGCGACGTGTACGTCAGAAAATGCAGTAGGTTAATTAGCAACAGATAGGAAGAGGACTGGGTGTAAAAGAGCTCGTTAGAGAGGCTGAATCTATTAGAAGTAAAGATGGGCAGAGGTTCAGCAGTCTCAGATGAACTGTCTAAAAGTAGTGGAACAATTTCAAAATAATGTTCCTCAATGGAAAACTTAAAATATCTCATCATCTACGGTTTCCAGAATCTGTAGAAATATCTGAGCTCAAAGGAGAAGATCTTCGGGCCCTCAGGGGCCACTTCATTAAAACAGTTCTGGTTCTGTTCTGGGCTCGGGAAGACTTCCACAGATCAGTGTCCGTAAGCACAGTTCATCCACAGATGCTGCTTAAAGCTCTATCGTGCAAAGAAGAAGGCAGATGTGAACATCATCCAGAACCACTGCCGTCTTCTCTGGACCAGAGCTCGTTTCAAATGGAACGAGACAAAGTCCAGAACTGTTCTGCAGTCAGGTGATCCATGTTTTAAATTTTCATGAGTTTTATTTATTTATTTATTTATTTTTTTTTAAACCATGCCTTGTCTTGTGCACTAAAGAGGAAAAAGGACAGTCTGGACTCTTATTGGCACACACTTCGAAAGGCTGCCTCTCTGATTGTGTGGGGGTACATTAGTTTGTCTGATTATGGGCAGCTTGCACATCTGGAAAGGCTCCTTCAGTGCATTTAAGTACATACAAGTTTTAAAACTTTTGCTCTTTTCAATCAAACAAGTCCAAAAGATCCAAGACTGTTGAACAGTTGAGTTCTCCATGAGACCAGAATGGGACTACATTCCCTCCAAAACCCCCATCAACTGGTCTCCTCAAGTCCTGGACTTTCAGACTGTACTTTAAAGAGGAGGGGATGGTTCACAGAGGAACCTGTTGCTGCCATAAAATTCAAAATTACTTTCTTTCTCTTTAAAATGGTTTAATTTCTTAGTGAACGTCGTAAATTAAATGAATGCGATCCCAGCGTTGTCGTAATGTCCCGACACTCAAACCTCTGGGACAGAAATCGGGTGGACTTGCTTTGGTTTTTCCCATGACTGAATGCAGTTTCAGAGCCGCTCTCGACGTCTGTTTCGGGTTGTTGCTCTCAGTGGAAGAAGAAAAAATGTGGAGGCCTGGTGGAGATTCTGTCAGCAGTTCTTCACTGGTTTCCAACACGTCACTCATCTGTTGTGTAGTTAAGACATCAGAAACACAAACATGGCTCTGACCCATGTTACCACTCACAATGGGGACCCCCCCCCCCCCCCCGTAATAAAACCTGATGAACGGTCAGTAGCTTCCCACTCAGGCGGGCCAAACGTAACCACAGCACTCGCTGCTCAGACGTGAGCCCCCCCGCTCTGCTCCACTGAACATATTTGGTGTGTGTGCGGTCAGGAACCCCCCACAAAATGACTATGTTACATTACAGCATGAGACAACGAGACACCAGGCCTGACCATAAACACAGGCTCATGACAGCATGGAAACAGCTCCCTGGAATTCCTAAAGTCTGAGGGAATGCCTCAACGCCGAGTGCACTGCAGGAAAAATAGAACCTCTGTTGGACTCCAGACCGGGTCATCGTTAAGGTCCGACCTGGGCATTTTTAGGCCTGAGGTCTATATATCGCCTTTAGGACATCCGTGTCCGTCAATCGAATGATGCGTGTTCACCAAGACACGGACTTCCAAATATTTCTTTACAGGAGTCAAAGGTGTGTTCAGCTTGTTGTGCATTGTGTGTTGAGAGCTTTGTATGTTAGAAGTAAGATTTTAATTTATATTCTGAAATTGACAAAGAGCAAAGCTAAAACTGGACA